GATAATAAAACTATATTAGAGGGGGACCTCAACTTTCCCTTCTCAGAATTGGATAAGTCTAACCCAACAATAAACAAGAAAGAAGTAAAGAAGGTGAATAAAATTCTGGAAAAGTTAGATATGATAGACCTCTGGAGAAAACTGAATGGGAATAGAAAGGAATATACATTTTTTTCAGCAGTATATGGCACCTACACAAAAATTGACCATGTATTGGGACATAAAAACCTCCCAACCAAATGGAGAAAAGCAGAAATATTAAATGCATCCCTTTCAGATCATGATGCAATAAAAATTACATTCAATAATGAACAATGGAAAGATTAAAATTTAATTGGAAATTAAATAATCTAATCCTAAAAAATAAGTGGGTGAGAGAACAAATCATAGAAACAATAATTTCATTAAAGAAAATGACAACAATGAGATAACATACAAAAATTTATGAGATGCAGCCAAGGTAGTAAGTAGGGAAAATTTTATATCTGTAATTGCTTACATTAATAAAATAGAGAAAAAGCAGATCAATGAATTGGGCTTGCAACTAAAAAAAGAAAACTAGAAAAAGAACAAATTAAAAATCCCCAATTAAATACCAAATTGGAAATTCTGAAAATCAAAGGAGAGATTAATAAAATTGAAAGTAGGAAAATCATTGAACTAATAAATGAAACTAGAAGCTGGTTTTATGAAAAAAACAATAAAATAGATAAAATATTGGTTAATTTGATTTTTTAAAAAAGAGAACAGAAAACCAAATTATTAATATAAAAAATGAAAGGAGTGAATTCACCACCAATGAAGAGGAAATTGAGACAATTGTTAGGAGCTATTTTGCCCAATTATATGCCAATAAATTTTACAATCTAAATGAAGTGGATGAATATCTACAAAAATATAAATTATCCAGATTAACAGAAGAAATAAAATACTTAAATAACCCAAACCTAGAAAAAGAAGTGAACAAACCATTAATGAATTTCCTAAGAAAAAATCTCCTGGACTAGATAGATTCACAAGCAAATTCTACCAAACGTTTAAAGACGATTAATCCTAATACTATATAAACTATTTGGAAAAATAGGCAAAGAAGGAGTCCTACCAAATTCCTTTTATGAAACATATATGGCGTTGATACCTAAACCAGCAAAAGCCAAAACAGAGAAAGAAAACTATAGATCAATTTCCCTAATGAATATTGATACCAAAAAAAAAAGTGTTAAATAAAATACTAGCAAAGTGATTTCAGCAATATATCACAAGGATTATACAGTATGACTAGGTGGGATTTATGCCAAGACTGCAAGGCTGGTTCAATCTTAGGAAAACTATCAGTACAATTGACCATATAAATGATAAAACCAATAGAAATCATATGATTATCTCAATAGATGTGGGAAAAGCCTTTGACAAAATACAGCACCCACTCCTATTTAAAAACATTATAGAGCATAGGAATAAATGGAGCTTACCTTAAAACGATAAAGAATATTTATCTAAAACCATAAGCAAGCATTATTTGTAATGGAGATAAGCTAGAAGCCTTCCCAATACAATCAGGGTGAAGCAAAAATACCCATTATGACTTCTAGCCTATATGACTATGACTTATAATTGTTCTAGAAACGTTAGCTATAGCAATAACAGAAGAAAAAGAAATTAAATAAGAATAGGTAATGAGGAAACAAAATTATCACTCTGCAGATGATATGATGTTATACTTAGAAAATCTCAGAGAATCAACTAAAATACTATTTGAAATTATCAACAATTTTAGCATAAATCCACATAACTCATCATTACAAAGTCCAGCATCAAGAGACAGAAAGAGAAATTCCATTTAAAATAACCATAGACAATATAAAATACTTTGGAGTCTACCTCCCAAGACAAACCCAGGAACTATATGAATACAACTGTAAAATACATTTCATACAAATAAAGTCAGATCTAAATAAATGGGAAAATATTAACTGTTCATGAGTAGGCTGAGCCAATATAATAAAAATGACAATTTTACCTAAATTAATCTATTTATTCAGTGTCATACCAATCAAACTATCAAAAAAGTATTTTATAGAACTAGAACAAAATAATAATAAAATTCATCTGGAAGAACAAAAGCTCAAGGATATCAAGGAAATTGATAAAAAAAAATGTGAAAGAATGTGGTCTAGCCATACAAGATCTCAAACTGTATTATAAAGTGGTAATTATAAAAACAATCTGGTACCAGCTAAGAAATAGAGTGATGGATCAATGGAATAGATTAGGTACAAATTACATTATAATCAATGACCACAGCAATTTAGTATATGATAAATCCAAAGGTCCAACCTTTTGGAACAAAAACTGCTGGGAAAGTTGAAAAACAGTTATGGCAGAAACTAGGTATAGACCAACATCTCACACCATATACCAAGATAAGGTCAAAATGGGTACATGATTAACACATAAGGGTGTGTGCACATAAGGGTGATACCATTAATAAACTAAGAGAGCATGGAATAGTTTATCTGTCAGGTTTATGGAAAAGGGAAGAATTTAGGACCAAAGAAGATATAGAGAGCATTACAAAATGTAAAATAGATAATTTTTATTACATAAAATTTAAAAGTTTGCACACAAACAAAACCAATGCAACCAAAATTACAAAAAAAGGGGCAGCTAGGTGGCACAGTAGAAAGAGTACTGGCCCTGAAGTCAGGAGGACCTGAGTTCAAATCTGGCCTCAGACCAAACACTTGACACTTACTAGCTGTGTGACCCTTGGCAAGTCACTTAACCCCAATTGCCTAAAAACAAAATGAAAAAAAAATTATAAGAAAAGCAGAAAACTGGGGGATTTGTGATAAAGGCCACATTTCTCAAATATATAGAGAACTGAGTCAAATTTATAAAAATGCAAGTCATTTCCCAATTGATAAATGGTCAAAGGATATGAACAGATAGTTTTCAGACAAAGAAGTCAGAGTTATTTACAGTCAAATGAAAAAATGATCTAAATCACTATTGATTAGAGAAATGCAAATTAAAACAACTCTAAGGTGCCACCTCACACCTATTAGAGTGACCAATATGACAAAAAAGGGAAATGTTGGATATTCGAGGAGATGTGAGAAAACTGGGACACTAATGTATTGTTGGTAGAGTTGTGAACGGATCCAAACATTCTGGAGAGCAATTTGGAACTATAAAACTGCACATACCCTTTGATTCAGCAATACTACTGCTAGGTCTATATCCCAAAGAGATCCCCCAAAAAAGTGGGGGAGGACCTATTTGTGCAAAAATATTTATAGCAGCTGTTTTTGTGGTGGCTAAGAATTGGAAATTAAAAAGATGCCCATCAATTTGAGGAATGGCTGAACAAGCCATGGCATATGATCATAATCGAATAGTATTGTGCTATAAGAAATAACAAGCAGGATAGTTTCAGAAAAACCTGGAAAGACTTACATGAATTGATGCATAGTGAAGTGAACAGAGCCATGAGAATGTTGTACACAGTAACAGCAATGTTGTTCGATGAAGAACTGTGAATGGCTTAGCTATTCTCAACAATACAATGATACAAGACGATCCCAAAGCACACTATCTGCCTCCAGAGAAAGAACTGATGTTGTTTGAATACAGACTGAAACATGCTATTTTTCACTTTCTTTTTTTTCTTTTATTCAAGTTTTCTTGTACAAAATGACTAATGTGGAAATGTTTTACATAGCTGCACATGTATAACCTACATCTGATTATACACCATCTCAGGGAGGAGGAAGGGCAGGAGTGAGGTAGGGAGGGATGGAATTTGGAATTCAAAACTTTAAATAAAAAAATGTTTTTTTAAAAGTACATAAAATATAAGAATGATGGATTATTTCCAAGAAATGAAGTATACCTAACAGAAGCAGATAAAAATATATTTGCCTGGAATCTTGCAAATCTGATCAAGAGGACTTTAAACTGAAAACAAAGGAGGAGAAAAAAAATCCCACATCTGTCTGCCAAGCCAGATACCAAAGAAAAGAACAGGAAGAAACAAAGGCAGAAGAAAAGGATCAGTAGTTGTCAGGAGATAATATCCAAGAAGTGGTAAAGCAGTAAGATCCATAACCTCAGATGTTTTCTGTACAAATATACAGAGTATAGGTTGTAAACAAGTTGAATTGAGGACCTTAATGCAAAAATGTAAGTTTGGCTTCAAATGTATCACTGAGCCCTGGTTCAGGGGGATACGACTATGGAAGGGTGATACCCTATTTTGCTTCTCTTCTCTCCAACAAGAAAAATCATTCTTAAACTGGGAAGGATAGAATAAAATAGTTAATAGGTAATAGAAAGTCAAGATAAGTGCAGAGAAAGCAGCAATACTATCAATGAATTCAAAATACCAGGTCTAGACAAGCTATATCCCAGGATACCAGAACAATCAGCACATGTGATCAATGAGCAGCAGTCGGTCAACTTTTTTAAAAAATTGCACAGGACAGAAGTGCTATAGGACTAGGGAAGGATAAATATTGCCATGGTTTTGAAGGGGGAAAAAAAAAGCAATGAGGCTATAGTCATCAAATAATACAGTGGTGATCTTGACTTTACTGTGGTTATCAGTTTCAATAGACTGATAATGAAACATACTTTCTTCCCATTAGAAGAGATGGACAAAAAAAAAAGAAAAGAAGAAAGAAAACTGTGTGACCTTGGGCAAGTCACTTAACTCCATTGCCTAGGAAGAAGAAGAAGAGGGGGAGGAGGAGGAGGATATGGACTACAGGTGTAGAATGTCTTATACCCTTTCAGACAGTTGCTACGTTAATTTTCCTCAGTGGCTTTTCTCTGTTACAAAAGAAGGTTCTATTATAAGGGTCATGTCAGGAAATTACTGTGGCATAAAAAGAAGAGATCATAAAAAAAAAGGTCATGCCAGACTAACTTTATGTAAAACAACAACAAAAAGTCATGACAGACTAACTTCATTTCTTTTTTTTTTTTTTTCCTAACAGGGTTACTAGACCGGCAGAAAAGGGAAACACAGTATAGTGGATTTCAACAAAGTATGTGACAAAGCTGAAGAGATGTAGGCTATAGATTAAATGGATTTAGAAATGGTTAAATGACCCAATAATATATAATATATAATGATATATATATTGAAGGACCCAGGTGCACTTACTTCAGAGGCCTCTCATTTCTCTGACTAGTTATCCCCACCCAAATGAACTGAGAATTCTAGTACCTAACATTCACCCAAAGGTAGCCATCAGTTTCCCTAATGAACATACAGTTTCAAAATGTGAACAGTTTTATTTGCAAGTTTTTTTCTTTTTTCTCTAGGCAATGAGGTTAAGTGACTTGCCCAGGGTCACACAGCTAGTGTCAAGTATCTAAGACCAGATTTGAACTCAGGTCCTCCTGACTCCAGGGCCAGTGCTCTATCCACTGCACTACCTAGCTGCCCCTGTTTTATTTGCAAGTTAATGGAAACAGGACTCATATCTGAGTCCAATCAATCAAAAACATTTATTAACTAGTTATCATGTGCCAGGCAATGTGCTCAGCATTGAGGATGTAAAGAAAAAGTAAAAACAATCTCTGCCCTCACAGCTTACATAGCTTACATTCTAATGAGGGAGACAACATGTACATAAATAGGTATATATACAAAATACATTTAGTTTCATTCATTAGCACCTGGAGGGAACATGGAAAGGCCTCCTGAAGAATGTGGTAATTGGGCCAAGTCTTAAAAGAAGGCAGGTATTCCAAGAGGCAAAGGCAAGGAAAGAGAGCCTTCCAGGCAGGGAGTACAGTTAGTTCAAAGACAGAGAAGAGAAGAGAGCATCATATGATTCAGTAAATAGGCCAATACAAGTTGACCAGAGAGTGTATGAAAGGGAATGATGTGTAAGAAGACTGGAAATACAAGCAGGGGCCAGGTTGTAAAGAGCTTTAAGAGCCAAGCTGAATTTATATTTGATCCTAAAGTTAGCCCGGAGCCACTAAAGCTTCCTGTGAATAATGATAACTCAGATGAGCTTTCCCCTTTGAGCCCTGTACAGTTTTCATGTGTGTAGTGCCTGGGGTAAGGAAGGGTTCCAGTCTTAGTTGGGGTTTGCTCCTCTTCATCAATGCTCCCCTACATGGCTCTTCCCTCTGAGCCATATTGCTAGTTTCCAGCTGCATTCACTGTCCTTTTCACAATAGTCATTAGTCCCTGCTGCCCATCAGTGGTTTTGTATACTATTCTCCTTAACCCTTCTGCTACAGCTCTCCTCCTGTCTTGGAAGGTGGTGCTTTCATCACTGTTGATCTTCTCCACAGTGTCTTCTTCATATTACTTCAGTTTCCTATTACTCATTCTGTGTTGCTGCTATCAGCATCTGAGCTCTCCTCTATCAGATGATGCTTGCCATCCTGTTGCTTTCTGCTGCTTATCTTCTCAATCAGATGACTATTCTTCACATCTCTGCCTTCCTCCTAAGTGTTTTAGCTTTGGTAGAAAGTGGCTTCCTTTCTTTGCAAAGCTTAAAAAAATAGAATTCATAAGATGCATGGACCCTCCAGGCAATCTCTTGATCGCCAAGCCAGGATGGTTATTTCCCAGCTAGTTGAATTTAACACAAATATCCACAAAATTTGCTAGATGGTACTAGTCCCCTTTTCCAGGAAACCATCTTTCTTTTTTTTGTTTTGTTTTGTTTTTCATCTTTCTGATTTTAAATCTGTGGGTGTGTCTATACAGCTAAAGAAAAAAACTACCAAAAATACCCCTCCATATATTTCTACTATTCTTGAGGCTTCCTTTGTACATGGTATCCACAGCCTCAAGACTTACTGAGGTAGGGTAGAATATGGGAATTTCGCTAAAAACCAAACAAGTCACTTTTCCCAAACCCAAATAAGGTTATAATAATTTTCTGCCAGCTCTCTCCTCTCTTTCCCAGTGTTCAGGCTGAGCATCTTCTGTTCATGCCAAAGTGATTCTAGCTGAGTCTTAGAACTTCATGGAACACCAGCATCATCTCTCCAACTGTCTTTCTATCCTCTGAATTCCCTCAGAGCAGCTAGACCAAATCAAATTACACAAGAGCTTTTTCATGTAACATGTCCAAAATGGAGAGAGAGGGGGGTGAAAAAGAGTGGAATTGTCTACTCCCACCTATATTTCCCTGGCTCAAAAAATTTGCAGTCCCTGCTAATTGTATGAGATATATACATATATATATACACACACATATATAATTTACATAGATTAAATATAGTCAAATATTATGCAACATATGAGTTGCACATAGTCAAATTATGTAACATCAATCCCATTTACCTCAGTAATCATGCATTACTTGGACTCAGTTTGGAGTGTTTATGGATAATCATAATTATCCCCTTATGACTTGAGCACCAATCTCACAATAGACTAGAGAAGTCTAAAGTCAAACTCAAGTCTAGATATGTAGTGATAGATCAATGGGAATCATAACTTAAAGAACAAAGAATTTATTTTACGGATTAAAAATCAGTGGAAAGGGAATAAGAAAACACAACTCAATATTCTTTCTTGAACATGTACAAATTCATCCCCAAATCCTACCAGAGTGGCCTGGGGGGGAAAAAAGCATCTCAAAGATGCTTACCTCCAAAATGAGATAAGCAGTCTCTCTTTTTCTCTCTTTCTTGTGGAACAACTCCTCTTAACTAATTTCCTCTGAAGAGACAGAAGTTGCTAAAGATTCTGGGAGTTGCATTTTTTTTTTCCAAGAAAAGAAGACTCATGTCTGGACCAGAACTGGAAGGCAGAGCTTCAGCTACAGCAGGAATTTGTAAAAGGAGGAAAAAAAAAAAAGGTCTCTTAGATGCGGAATCACGGAGGGCAGTCGAGACAGCTGCAGCAGCAGATGGACAATTCTTCCCAGGAGAATTAGAAGCTTCTTACCACCTTTTCTCTTTTTCTGATTTTATTAAAATTTATTAAAATAATCCAACATAGAGTGAAGAAATTATTGCTTCTCAGAGAAACCTTTGAAAAAATGGGAACCTACCCAACTCTCCATTTCTCTGATAAAGATACAATAATTTTAGTGGAGTGCTGAGTTTGTGACTTTCTATAGAAAGCAGAAAGTGTGAGGAAGAAAATCTATGGATATTTGTTTGTGCTAAATTCAGCTAGTTGGGAGATAACCATCTTGACTTGGTAATCAAGGGATTGCCTAGGGGCTCCAAGTAACTTGTTAATTCTATTTGCAATGTGCATTTTAAAGGTTTCTTCTTTCTTCCTTCCTTCCTTCCTTCCTTCCTTCCTTCCTTCCTTCCTTCCTTCCTTCCTTTCCCTTTCTTTCTTTCTTTCTTTCTTTCTTTCTTTCTTTCTTTCTTTCTTTCTTTCTTTCTTTCTTTCTTTCTTTCTTTCTTTCTTTCTTTCTTTCTTTCTTTCTCTTTGCAAAGAATAGAAGCCACTTTCTTCCAAAACTAAAACCCTCAGGAGCTAATCTCATTATCTCCAAGCAGTTGGTTGTTTTGTGCTAAGGACCTTTTTTATTTTTCCTCCCTTCGTTACTGAGAAAGTGATAGGGAGAGAGTAGAGACCTCAAGAGAAGATCGTTCCCACAGCCAGGGACAAGGACCTTTGCTGGGCAACACTTGCTCTTTCTCAAGACAAAGCATGTCTCTCAGTGATGACATCTTTGAACGTCTAAATTGCTCCAATTGCCCTCACAGCTTTGCAGGGAAAAGTTGGCTGATAATTAGCAGAAAGACCCATGTTCCAGGGTAGGAAAATTGTCTTTGGGGGCAGCTACGTGGCGCAGTGGATAGAGCACTGGCCCTGGATTCAGGAGGACCTGAGTTCAAATGCGGCCTCAGACACATAACACTTACTAGTTGTGTGACCCTGGGCAAGTCACTTAATCCCACTGCCTAGCCAAACAAAAAAAAAAAAGGAGAAGAAGAAAAAAAAAAAAGGAAAAAAAAGGAAAATTGTCTTTGGTATGGTTAGACTGAAGAGGCAGGGAGCATTCATTCCTGTATTCAATCTCAATTTGTTCTCAGTAGTCAGAAAGCAGGCTCTCTGACTGCTGGCCCCAGGACTGTCTTGGGTGGTATCTGGAATGTTTCCTTCCTTTATTTCCATAATTCCACTCATATCAATCAAGGACCACATTTCCTTGACACCATTGCCTTACATAGTAGGCCCAAAAATCTCGTGGGAAATGAAGTCTCAGGAGCATCTCCAAATGAGCAATTGTTCTTTTAGCTCAAGCATCATAGAAAATATAATCAGAAGGGAACTGCAGTATATGCTTTTAGATGTGCCCCTATTATACATCTGAGTTACATTTATTAGACTTTGAATGCAATCCTTCCTTGAATAAAGTTAGCTGCTTTGAGCTTGTAGACATCTCCACACTACATAAATGATATCCTAGTTGATTACCCCTGGAGTATCATATGTCAGCTTGGACAAGCACAGTTTCTTGATAGGTGAGGCAATCTTTCACCATTTCTAATAGTATTCCGACACTCAGTTTTCCCCTCATCTGGATTTTGGCCTGAATGCAGGTCTCAAACTTTATTTATAGATACACATACACATAGAGAGAATCTATGAATATTTATGTTAAATTCAATATATGCTGTATATACTTATACAAATATCTTGCCATACTGAACAACAGAATTTTCTCTTAGCCTAGATATCAAAAATCATCAGGGAAGACATTTATAGCCATGTTTCACTTGGTTTTGAATAAAACTAACTGCCTTCTCACATCTCTCACAGGATGTCTATTACTGAGTTTCTACTTCTTTCATTCTCACATCAAGAGTTGACCTCCAAATGAGTGACACTTTACTTCCTTGACAATCAATATCCCTTTCTCTTGGCAAGTATTACTACTTATAGATCTTCATCTTGAAGTGAATTACCAGTCACCCCTATTCCACTTAGATATGAAAGACTGAGAATAATATCCCACAGAAGTCCTAGCCTCTCTACTGTGCTTCCTGTTTTAGGACTCCTGCCATGGATTGTCTTCAGTCCCTCAGCTTTTTCAAGTGACTTTGTAGGTCTTCTCTCTTTTGGAGACCTGGTAGTCTCAGGACCACTCTTAGGATAGTCAAGAGTTATTTGGGAAAATTTTATGTGTTACCCATTGGACACAACGGACATCCCACTCATCCAGTGACAATGCTCTCATCCCTCTTTCTCATTTCCTTATAGTTACTTGAGTACGAGGGATTCTCTTAAATCAAACCTCTCCCAAGGCTGAAGGTTTGAGAAGCAGCTGGAAAATGCTGGGTTGCTATGACTCTCTGTGTTCTGTGCCAGGGGAATCCTGAAAAACTAGAAAGAAACCTACAAGTGCAATTCAGTAGCTAGAAATCTAACCACAAAGATTCAAGTATAGCTAGGAAACTTCAGAGGCAAAAGTCTGTAAATCTAGTTAGAAACCTAAAAATTGTTAGAAGGGTAGAAGTCTAGCTAGAAACTTATATACATGGCTATAATACACATACACACACCCAATCTAGTCAGGAAGAAATAAATATATATTTGAAATTCACATAGCTGGAAATCTAGAAATTTATACAGAAGTCTAAAAACAGAGGTAGAAAGGCAGAAGTATAACTAGGAAAGTTCAAATACAGCCAGCTGTAAAGGTAGTAATTGTACCAGAAAGCTTCATATGCAATTGGAAAGCTAAAATGTAAGTAGAGCCCTGAAAATTCAGTTAGAAAACTGAAAAGTTAATAACAAAACTATGGACCTAACTGAGAACAGATAAACATACCTGAAAAACAGGAAAGCTGGAAAGAAACCAACAGAAAAGGCTAGAGAACCATTTGCAAACTAGTTTTTCAGAATTCTAGCTTTATTTTTAGCTAACCAGCAATTTTTGAGTATTGAGCTATTGTTATCTACATTTAAAAGTTCTTAGCTAGATTAACAGGCTTCTCACTCTGTTTATAGCCTTCTGCCTAGATTTCACGCAATTTCAGCATTAGAAGGGACCACAATGGCCATCTAGGCTAATGCATAGCTTAGAAAGAATCCCCTCTACAATAGGCCTGGGAAAAAGTCATCTAGCTTTTGTAAGAAGACTCCTAAAACTGTCTATTCCACCTCTGAATAGCTCTTATCGAATTTTTTCCTTAGGTATAACTGAAATCTACCTCTTTGTAACTTTCATTCATTGCTCTTAGATCTGCCTTTGAGACCAAGAAGAAAATGCCTAACTCCCCTTTCATACGTGAAGAAAACTATCTTTTTCTCCTCTAAATTTTATTTAATGTCCTCAATTTCTGCTACTTATCTTCATAGGCCATAATCTTGAAGGCTTAATTATGTTTTTATCACCCTCACCAAATCTGTAGCTTTCCAGATTTGTTTATAGCTTCTGGTTGTGTCTGTGGACATCTAAGTATGGTTCTAGCTTCCTGAGTATGGTTTCTACCTTTTTAAAGAATTTCCAATTAAGTTTCTAGCTTTCTAGTTTTCTAAGTGTATCACTATGTTCCAAGATAAGTTTGATCTACCTAACAATTTTTGTAGCTTTTTAAATAGATTTCCTTCTTTCTAAGTGTGATGGTAAATTTTTAATGTGATATCCAGTCTTCTGGGTTTCTTAGTTATATTTGTAAGTTTCTAATTAGATTTCAAGGTATCTATTTGTGTTTATAGCTTCTTAGCTGTACCTAAGATTTTCTAGGTAGATTTCCAGCTACTTAAGTTTATTTTGTAATTTTTTTATCTAGATTTCTATCTTCAAGTAGTTTTGGTAAGTTTCTAGCTACTTTCCCAAATTTTTATCTATATATAAAACTTTCCAACTATGTTTCTAGTCTCAGTTATGTTTGTAGTTTTTTATTGTAGAAACCTTCTAGGTAGATTTCTAATCTTCTAGCTGTGTTTTTAAGTTTCTAACTAACGTCTCAACTTTGTAGATGGGTTTCTAAATAAACTTGCTCTTTCTAGGCACATTTGTAGGTTTCTAACTAGTTTTCCAGAATTTTTCCTATGTTTGTAGTTTCTTAGATATAGCTAGATTTCTAGCTTTCTAGTCTTTTGAGGTTTTTAACAAGATGTACATTCCTAGGTATATTTTTTAGTCTCTAGGTGTGTTCATAGGCTCCTTTCCAGTTTTCTAGGTGTCTAGCTATCTACTTTGCTTCCACCTCAATCTCCCACTTTGTGGATATTTTTCTAGACTTCTAACTAGATTTAGAGTTATGCTTATAGATTACTGGTTAGATTTCACTGAATCTCAGTGGTTAGATGAAACCAGAGAGATAATATAATCCTGAATAAGGATCCATTTTATAACATACTACCAAATGGTCACTGAACCTGTATTTAAAGACCTGTAGTGAGGAGGAACCCACCATGTCCCAGGCCAACCCATTCCAATTTTAAATCACTTCAGTTGTTAGGAAGTTTCTCCTTCTACCGTGCCTAAATCTGTGCGCTGTGGCTACTATGAATTGCTTCTATTTTGGCCATCTGGTTCTCATCAGAGCAAGATTAAACCCCCTTCCTCATGATTGTTCTTCAAATACTAAAAAACAGCTATCATGTCTTCTTTACTAAATCTTCTCTTATCCAAATTAAACCTTCTAGTGTTCCTTCAATTGAACTTTATTTGATATATGAACTCTCACTTATAGCTCCAAGAAGATGTAGCGTGGCCACTCCTGTGTAAAACCATCTTGGCAGACAGGCTAAATCAGGCTGATGGTAACCAACAGACCTCAAACACATTGGTAACTTAGGGGCATGTCTACCCCAACCATGTGAAGATTTTCCTGGTGGAATGAGCAGGTGAGAACAATTTGTTTCAATAGCCATGAAGGTGGCTGGAGCAGATGGAGTGCTTAGAGCTTGGTCAGACATCAAAGACACCAAGGCCATCCACTGCATCCCAGGTCATCCACAGTTATCTTGACTTTTGTCCTGCCACTGGACTTCAGTGATTATGGAAGAGAAAGTGAGGCTGATGACTTTGTGCAATTCTGCCTCACCTAAATCCGGTTCACACAAAAGTCAAGACATCACCCTTGATGTCATCGGTCCTCTTCGAAAACAAAGGACAAACAACAGTTTGGTATGATCTTGGGGACTTTTATCACCCTGGTGAACCTCCTCTGAACACTCTCAAGCTCATCAATGTCCTCCTCAATTGTGGTGACCAGAAATGAACAGAAAATTCCAGTTGTGATCTGACCAAAGCAGAGTACAGTGAGATTCTGACCTCTCCAGTTTGAGAAACTTTGTCTCTTATAATTGCATTGATTGGATTCTAAGATTGCATTCATTGACTTTTGGGGCTGCCATTTCATACTATTGACTTATGTGCTTGGAGTCCACTGAAACCTCCGGATCTTTTTCAGATAAACTACTATCTAGCCATACTTCTTTCCAAACTTTTTTTTTAAACCAAGTGTGAGACTTTACATGAATCTCTATTACATTTCATCTTATTAGATTTGGCTTAATGTTTGAATCTGTTAAGATCTTCCTAGATCCTAACTCTGGTATCTAGTATATTAGCTATGCTTTCCAGATCTATGTTATCTACAAATTTGATAAGCATACCATTTATGCCTTGATCCAAGCCACTGATAAAAATGACATGCAGCACAGGGCCAAAGATAAGTCCCTAGGGTATTCCAGTAGGAATCTTCTTCTACAATGACATAAAACTGTGATCTAAAACTGAAAGAAACCTCAGAAGTCATCTAATACCCTCTAATCTTACAAATGAGGAAACTGAGACGCAGGGAGGTTATTGCACTTGACTGTCTCCAACTCCTCTCTCTGATAAGTTTCAGCTTAAATCTCATCATCTGCAAGAAGCTTTTTCTCATCCTTCTTACTACTAGCACCTTCCCTCTATTGATTTTTTCCAATTTACCCTAAATATATTTTGTATTTCCATAGTTGTTTGCATGTTGTCTCTTCTACTCAAATATGATTTCCTTCAGGGAGGAGACTGTTTTTGCCTTTCTTTGTATCCCTACAGCTTAGCGCAATGCCTGGCACATAGTTAACCCTTTTTTTTTCTTACCATTAATTTCTGTTTCATTTTATTTTCCTCAAACATATATAAAATAACTTTAACATTCATTTTAAATAATTTGGAGTTCCAAATTCCCTTTCTCTCTCCCCTTCCCCTTCCTTGAGAAGGCAAGCACTTAGATATAGATTATACATGTGCAGTCATTCAAAATATTTCCATATTAACCATGTGGCAAAAGAGAACACAGGTTAAAAAAACACAAAATAATAAAGAAAGTTTAAAAAGTACGCTTCAATCTTCATTCAGACTCCATCAACTGGTTCCCTGGAGGTGAATAGCATTTTTCACCATAAGTCTTCTGACACTGTTGTGTATAATTGTATTGCTGAGAATAGCTAAGTCATTCATAGTTGATCATTGTACAATATTGCTGTCACTGTGTACATAATAGACTCTAAATAAAGGCTTCTTGACTTGTCTTGATTTGATCTCCCTAGGGTCATGAAGGTAGTAAAGGGCAGAGGCAGGATTTGATGTTAGGTCCTTCACTTCCCTGAAACAATGGTATTTCCACTGAACCATGCTGTCTACACCTAGCTATTTACCCAGTTCTGAATCCCCTTCTTAGTACCATTTACTTCTCACCATTTGATTCACCAAAACCACATTACAGGGTAAAATCCAGCTAAACTATCATATGAAATATTTTATACCATGAGTCAACAAATCACAGCTGGGAAGAATAGGTACATAGGAATTAAGCCTTACAATGTAGGTCTGCAGCAAGACTTCAATCACAGCAAGGGAAGCAGATACTATTAAAACTGTGATTGTGTAAAAAAT